TTATTATTATAAATGCGATTATAATTACAAGTATAGTGCGCAAGTTGCGAACGTCTATAACGGCGTCGTGATATTCACGAATGCCCCCCCCCCTCGCCCCCACGTGGGCCATCTTTCACAGGGCCCCACAGGTATAAGTGTGAGAGTGGTGATGCCACATGTGGACTGTATGCAGGATAGTCCACCAGAACTGTCCATTGACCTCTGATGTCCTCGGGGCTGGTGTCTGTCTGTCTTTGAGTCTAGCGGTTAGCGCGCTGCGCTACGAACCCGGCCACCCAAGTTCGATTCGTGCTCACGGCCAAGACCAGTGACAATTATCTGCACCGGACCTGGGCCTCCCCTCGGTCGACTCAGCTTCAAATGAGTACCTGGTGCGGTATGTAACCATCGCCCCTGGGGAGACAAAGGTGGCCTGCGGTGGTGCTGGCCACCGACCCTCACGTGTGCAGCTCCGACCTTCATAAGTGCTCGCTAACAGCTCTTGCCTCAACAGTCTGTTAACGCTATAACGGGGATCTTTGTCTTTTGTGAGAGTGGTCTGCCACAGAAACGTTAAGTGCCTCTACTCGTGGGAGCTCTAGAATGCCCCTTCCAGAGGCTATTTTGGCCCACTCTTCCGCGTCAGCTAGACATCTCAGAAGACGTGGGAGTACCCACACTTTACCCCACCGCACGCGACCTGCCCATCAACAGCGGGGTACCCATTGGTACGGTTGGAAGGATTTAAGAAACTCGCCCCCATCGTTTCAACTGGTCGCTATCCGTTTACACCGCGGCACGCATTCAAGTGTTGTGTTACATTTTTTTGAGTAACAAAAAAGAATGGAGACCAACTAAATGGAAAACGCGTTCCTTCTTCAGATGTCCCTTAAATTCCACCGTAAGTTGAAAACTGTCAGCGGGATGACTAAGTGCGGGATTGCGATGCGTCGCCAAATTAGTTGCGAGGAAAAAGAACTGGCCCCCGAAAACTGCTCTAGAGGAGTTGTACACCCCTAGCTGCCACTGCTATTCATTGGCGTAAAATAAAATAAAATGTTTCGCTCCGGATGACGCTGCAAAGTATTATCTGTATTTTGATTTAGCGTGCTGATCTTAAAGGTGCATTGAAAAATTTGATACTCCGACTGATGCTTCTGTTGTTGTGGAGTAACTCATGCAGCCAGCTATGGCTCTAGGATTTGGTGTTACATGTTATTTATGTAGTTTATTGTAAAAATTCGGTCACAGTCCCTATGATCACTGTTACGTTGCAATTATGGCTTTATCTTTTGGTGATTTCGAAAACTTTTTTGGTTTGGACAAGTTTGTTTTGTTGTAGTACGAGGTTAGACTGGTGGCCTTAATCTAAGTTTTCTTGTTGTTGTTGTTTGACTTGCATCCCACTGGGATTTTTTGCACACAGCATTGGTGTACGATGCTTTTTTCAGGAATATTTTGCTGTTTTTTTTATTCATGGATTTTCTGTTTGCACAGTCACAGTCACTTTAAGATGTTTTCTTGTTCGTGTTTTTTTTGCTTGTTGTGGTTGCACCCGATTCAAGAGCCAAATGGCTCACAGGGCTATACCAAAATAAATCAACTGAAAACTGAAAAACTGAAACGTGCCCGCGTCAACGTTGGGACTCGGAGAACAAAGGTGTCAGACTCTGCGACGGGGGGGGGGGGGGGGGAGGAAGGGGGGAGGGGCACCTCCTGCTTCGACGCCCTCTCATTAATTAGCGCAAAACACGTTCCCCGGATGGGGGGGATAGCCTGGGGGGGGGGGGGGGGGGGGGTTGCTCAGCGCTGGCCGTCGCCAGCCGTTCTGCAAACTACTCCTGGCGTGACAAACATCGCGAACACTGCGTCCGCAGGCAACTCGTGTAGGATCTGCAGCCTAGCCACTTCTTCATCTGCTTTGTTTTGGAACCCGACGTGTCACCACGTGAGCACCTCGTCGCAGTGGTGAGATGTTAACTCCCTCGCCTGGTATGCAGGAGGTCGTGGGTTCGATTCCGACTCTGACGCCTGCTGCTGCTGTATATTTGGAGTCTCTCTCCCCGTGGTCGCGTGGATTTTTCTTCGGGTCCTCCGTTTTTTGTCCCTCCACGTTTAGAAACGTGCATTGAGAGTATCCGGCTGCTATAAATTTCCACGCGATTAGCCACTTCGTTGAGCTATCATTTGTGGCCAGGTTGCTTCTAAAAAAGAGCTACGTAGCTTAGCGGGCCTTCTCTGGTCAAATAAAAAAAGAAGTTTGGTTTAGTTTCAACCGAACGTGCGCGTTTTGTTGGAGCCACGATTATAATTCATGCAGGGTCCTTGGGTTGAGCCGGCGTAGTTATTTGTGCCGTAGGCCCACCCACCACCTTACGTAGCCAAACAGGTGAAATTGTCACGTGTACAGTACAAACGTGTGATACAAATGGCGACAGCTTGGAGAGACCTTCGTCCAGTGATTGATCGTGGATAGCTGATGACAATGATGGTGATCGTAAGGAAAATAATAGCACGTGAAGCCAGTAGTGCCAAAGTGTGGATAAGAAGTCACTTGAAGGGAACTCAGCAGCAGCTCTCTGACACCTCCTTGCGTGGACAGTTCTCCAACATGCGGCGATGCGCTGGACTGCACGAGTTCCGAGCAGACGCATCATCCCGTGACACAACCACGATAGCGCCATTGGAGGGCAATAGTGAGAAACGCCAAAAGGTGCGATTGGATTTTTATCAAATCTAATTCTAGTTACGTGCAGCTCGGGAATTGTCGCATTCGGTCGCCGCTCCTACTCCAGTCCAAGCATCGGGGATACTCCATCTGGAGCTTTCACTCCCATCGTCCTCACCCACCCCTCCTCCTCCCCGACTTCTGACACCACAAATGAAACACCCAGACACCCGCGTCGCCCGGCCGAAAATCCCAGAGAACCATCACCTTTCCATTCGCCAGCTGAGACGTTATTATCCCCTGGGCTGCTGCATATTTCTTGCTAAATTCTGTTGCCAAAACTTTTAGGCCTCCCATTTTCATGCAGTGTGTCCCTTTCATGATGTACTATACAGTATATACAACCGGCAAAGAGCCCCCCCCCCCCTCTCTCCCCGCTCCTCCCAACCCTGCCACCAACTCCCCACACTTCCCGATTCAACCCTTTAGACCATGAGTGGGGAACCTTTTTTTGCCAAGGGCCATTTGGATATTTATTACATCATTTGCGGACCATACAAAATTATCAACTTAAAAATTTGCCAGTTATATTTGGTCAAACATTTCATTAACTCACCCCTAATGCGATGGCTGGAACTGCTTCTCGTTGGTAAGGCGTGTGATGATGTTAGCTGGTATTGATGATGTTGCTACTCGCAACTGCTTTTCCAGGTTTGCTCCTAGATTTATTGAATTTCGAGTCCTGCCTGCGGTTCCTTTGGCAGGGCCACACCAAATGATTTTCTGGGCCTCAAACGGCCCGCGGGCCGGATGTTTCCCACCCCTGCAGTTTAGACCATTGGCGCAAGTGCCGTCTGCAAGCTCCTATTTCGGCTGCGGTGCACGCCACGTGCCGGAGGGATCGACTTGAACCGGCGACCTCTTTGGATTTCAGGTGCACCGCTGGCTATGGGCAGCATCGGGCCACGGGATGGTAGCTTGCAAATCTCACGGCAAACAAATATTTGACCACGGACTCTTTCCCACACCGCCACCCCGGTCTTCCGTTCGCTCTGCAGAGTCTGGGTTCGATGTAAAAACTAAAACCAAACTATTTTTTTTATTTCACCAGGTAAAGGCCCGCTGAGCTATGTGGCTCCTTTTCAGAAGCAACCTTGGCAACAAATGACAGCTCAACGAAGTGGCTTATCACGTGACCACGGGAAGAGAGAACATGCAAACTCCAAATATACAAGCGTCGTCTGGGTAGGGATTGAAGCCACGACCTACTGCATACCAGACGAGGTAGTTAACATCTCGCTACCGCGGGGCCCCACTATGTAACCTTCAGCGCTAGATGCAGAGGAGCAACATTCGCGGACCGACGATTCCGTCAACGAAAATCTACGCACTAGGCGAGCGAGCGGCAGCAGGCGAGTTTGGGTGGGGGGGGTGGGAGAGAGGCAATGGTAGGAGTAGAGGTGGACGGCATCCTTTACGTCAAGCAAAAAAACACGCGCGTTTATTAAACAACAACAAAAGTGTGGCAAATCAAACGTGACGGGCGTGAATTCTCGAAGGTAATTCCAGGAGGGAGGGGGGGAAGCATTCGGGGAAACGCGAGCGGCTGGCATCGCGAGCAGGTTCGGGAGAGCGGTGGCCGGGGGAGAGTGACAGGGTGAGAGCGTTGGCCGTCTCCTCTCGAGTGTCGCACAGCGCTGGGTCGAGAGGTGGGCGATGGCTCAGCTGACGAGTCCCTCTGGCTCAGAGTCACCGTGGAGGGACTCCTCACACTGGTTTGCCCGTCTCCTCTCCAAGGGGAGGGTCTGCATCAGAGGGACACTCAACTTGGTGCAGTGTTTTGTGATAAAAAAAAACAAAGTGATTCCCTGCGTCAAATGAGCACTGGTTGGCACCTCCTGTTTACGGCCAAGAGCCGAAGGTGGAAATTCCACATTCCTATGGTGAGAGGGCAAATCTATCCGTCGGACAACCACTCTTGACTTCTCCACAATGCGGGACTAATTTTATCGACCCCGGAGGGATGATGGGATGAACCAACCTGCCCCCCCCCCACCTACCATACTAAATTTGAACCACGGGGTTGGTATTAGCAGAAAATCACTTTTGAGGTGGCGATTCTCAACCCTTTGCTTACTAAATCAAACTTCCCAGTGTCTTATCCCCACAGCTGCAGCTCCGGCACACAGAATGCGCGCGTTATGCCCCCTTCCTCGACACCGCTGAGAGATGCGCAGCGTCGGCCCAGGGCCTCACCATGGGACCCCCGCTTCCCCCCGGCGTTGCGGCGGTGCGCGCGGTGCGTTCGTCTGCCTGTGCGGTGCCGCGGTGCGATGGGGCAGAGACTCACGCTGGCAGCCGCGGTTCCAGTAGTAGCCGGCCAGACACTCGCCGCACTTGAGTCCGCTCGCGCCTTCCTTGCACTCGCACTGCCCCGTGCCGTTGCAGCGATCGCTCGCCGAGCCGAACGGGTTGCACTCGCACGCTGCAACGGCGCGAGACACAGGGCGGTTAGCGTCCGATCGCCGGTTCCGCCTCCGCAAGAGCGGTTAATGCGAACGCTGTCCAAAGAGGTCACAAATTTGGCGCAACGGTCCTTCGGTGACTCTGCGTGATCAATGAATGAATGAGCTGAAACAATAATGGAGGGTGGGGGGGGCGCACGCACGCAGGCACACGGATGCACACACGCGTTCCGTTTGTTCTTTGTCTAGGTTGGTTTGGTGGGCGAGGTGTCTTAGGACGTGCATTGTACCTGGCCAAATCCTTACGCGCCCCTCCCACCCCCCCCCCGGGGTCTAAAAGCTATTCATTGTTTTAAAATCCGCGAACGTTGGCTTCGAAAGACGACTGCGTGTTGACTCGAACAAAACAGCCGACGCAAACAATACCACCGTGCAGCGGACGCGTGGTGGCGTGTACATGACACCCGTTAGGTTGAAAATGAAACGAAAATGTCGGAAGTAAAGTAGTACAATCTTCTATGGAATCGTGACCCTGAATCATGACAATTGATCGAACCATTGGGTGGGTGGGTGCATAGATGTGTGGGTGAGTAGGTGGCTAAGTCGCACGGTGGGATTATTACATGACTCACTGCTCTTAGCTCGACATCAGCTGCTACACTCCTGGGATGGGGGGAGGTAAAGCAACTTAAGCGAATTGTTTTCCTACCCTAAGTCGATACAGACCCACGGGGAACGTTTCGCTTATTGCAGCCGTCCAGAGAGCTCTCACACTCGGGACGAACGATCGTCGAAAGAATAATCCCTGCTCAGCCGGGAGAGAGCCTTGCCGAGTATCGAGAAAATGTTCAGAAGAGAGGTCCGATGGGAAAGAGCTCTCCCGACAACGGTTTAGGTCACACTGCACGCGGGTCCTGGCCGGTGCCTGACGTTACGCGGCTCCTGGAGAAGCTTCCCCCCCCCCCTCCCCGGCGTCTGGAGTGAAACATCGGACACCGTACCGAACGACGAGCGGCTACGACCGGACGACGCCAATGGGAGAGCTGCGCGGACAGCGGCGCAACCGCAAAAAAACCCCACGGAGCCCTTAAGGTAATGAATTGATCAATATATATGTGTGTATGAATTCAAATATTTCACCTGTATAATGTCTTTAGATGGAACAACTCAATTTGTCAGTGTCGAGGGTGCTGATTGATACGTACTGAGCAAACACGTAATGGCACTTCTGCAAACATTTTACATCTAAAACGTATACATAATTTAATTATACAGTGAACATCACACCCCGTCAGATCCATTAAAACATACTGATTTTTTTATCAATACTGGGCGTAATTGGCCAGTTCCTCTTTCGAGTACAATTTCTCATCTGGGTTGGAATCCAGAGTTCCTGGAGAAAACCCGCGTACGTGGTAAGAGGGGATAACACTTAAACTCCGTACGGAGAAGTTAGCCAAAGGGATGTGGTCCCAATTTTCTGTATTAATTTGAAAAAATCTGGCCTCACAAAAATCTGTCAGGTGATCCCAAAAGTTATATTTTGTTTTCGGATCCGAATGTATGACGTCACAGGAAATGACATCACACATTCCATCATTGCCGTGCTTTCATCGACGGGGGTAATATCCTGTCTCCTGTGGTGACCTCACTTTTGTCAGCACGAAGACGTGTTGCATTACTGCAGGAGGTGACCCAAGACTAAAAATCGTCCTCAAAAAGTAAAAATTCCAAACTTTGAAGCTCATCGCGAGTTAGCAAACTACTTATCCTACTGCAGAATCAAACGCGTTATCCCGTGCTGCTGCTGAATTGGTAGTGGTGTTCAAGCACAAACAACACGCAAAAAGCTCAACACATTAATCAATAACACGTTTTATGAAGCAGAGCCGCTGCCCGAAACGTCGCCTATTTTAGGCTGAGTCGACCTAGGGGGAGGCCCGGAGACTGGTTCAGATAATCGTGCATTGGTGTTGTCCGTGAGCGGGAATCGAACTCGGGTTGCCGGGTTCATAGCGGCAGCACGCTAACCGCTGCACCACCACTCCCCTACACATACACGAACTGGGGCCAGTAGGTGTAGATCGGATGGAGTCCGTGAGACGGTAGTGGTGGTGAACTGGCAGGTTCACGGTGGCTAGGACATGTTAACTACCTGCATACTCTTTGGTTCTTTCGGTAAAGTCACGTAGGTATAAAATAAAATAAATCACGACGTATCGGGTGCAACACAAGCGTCCATCATCAGGTTGGGAAAAAGCATGGTCTGCTGCTGCTGAGGCAGACTGTTTTAAAAGGTTTGAAATGGGTGTAGCTCAAGGGTTACAAAGAAGTGGCCAGGGCTAGTGATGTTAATGTGAGAGATTAGCATGATGTTAATGTGAGAGATTAGCATGATGTTAATGTGATAGATTAAACTACCTGGCCTGGAATACAGGAGGTTGTGGGTTCGATCCCGACCCTGACACCTGCTGCTGCTGTATATTTGGAGTTTGCGTGTCTTTTTCTCCGGGTTCCTCCGTTTTTTCCCCTCCACGTGTTGAATCAACATCACGCGTTTAGAGTCTTTGGCTGCTATAAATATCCACGTGAATAAGCCACTTTGTTGAGCTATCATTTGTGGCCAGGTCGCTTCTGAAAAATAGCTACATAGCTCAGTGGGCCTTACCTGGTCAAATACAATAATAGTTTATAGTTTAGTCTGGCTACATACTTAACGTCTCGAATCACTCCTAATTTAACAAAGAACACGTGCGCTTTGATGGGTGCATTCACGGTGCGGTGAAATTAATGTCGGAGAAATCCCTCAAGGTGCTCGCCTCGGTTTATGACAACAACGAAATTAATTCCTCTCCCCAACACACACAGACAACAACAACAACAAATAATTCTCATGAAAAAGAAACATTGGACAGCGTGACAATGTGACAACACCGACGCTGCCGTTAAAGCGCGAAAAGGCAAATCGAGCGGGACTGGGGGGCAGCGTCGTGAGAGCAGCTTACGAGGAGGGGCAGGGGGTAGAGGACGTGAAAGAAACTGCGGAGTGGAGGTGGAGAGAGAAGGGGAAGAGAAAGGCGCGGAGTGAGGCGGCAGTGAGATGCGGACGACGGAGTTCAGAGGTTACGACTGGACCGGAGCAACTGACGTACACTCTATCCCTGGTTATGTCTGTGTGTATGTTTGGGGGGGGGGGCGGTAGTGTAGCGGTTAGCGTGCTGCGCTACTAACCTGGGGGCCCGGGTTCAATTCCCGCTCACGGCCAACACCCAGTGACAATTATCTGAACTGGTCCTGGGCCTCCACTTGGTCGGCTAAGCCTCAAATTTGTACCTGGTGCGATGTGTAAACATCCCCACTAAGGAGACAAAGGCGGCCGGGCGTGTTGTTGGCCACCTACCCCCTCGTGTGCCGTGCCGGCCTTTATAGGTGCTCGCTAACAGCACTTGCCCCTACAGTCTGTAGGGCTACACGGGAGATCTTTGTCTTTTTATGCATGTTGAACTTCTTTCGCACCGTACGTAGCCAACCACGATCATTAACAAACTAAACACAAAAAACAGCGCGAAAGAAACGAGTTTTCAATCCAGATTTAGAAGTGCAGAGCTCCAGAGCATTCCAAATTTCTAAAAAACAGGTGATCTGCCCGAGCCGATTTGCGCTGCGGGGAAATTGTTCGTTTCGTTCGTTTCTCAATCCGCTTGACCTGGTGAGGGTCGCCGCGGCAGCCTGTTGAGTAAGGTGGCCCACACCTCCCTTTAACTCCAGCACTACATTACCATATACTATACACTACATTACTACACGATGCACTACTATATACACTATACTAATATACACTATACACTACGCGACTACTATACACAGACTCCAGCTCTCCCTGGGAAATTCCCAGGAGTTCCCAGGCCAGCCGGGCGACATCGTCCCACCCCCAGCAGCAGCGTGTCCTGGGCCGGCCCCGGGGTCTTCCCCCAGTGGGACGTTGCTGCTGCCCGGTAGAGTTCCAGGGGGAGTCGATAGGGGGGCATCCTTACCAGGTGCCCGGGATTGTGTCATCGCGTGATATATATACAATTGTTTTTTGTTCTCTGGCCATTCTGGGTGAGCCAGATCACTCTTTGCAAACGAGACTTTTGAATTTTCGCCTTGTTCAACCAGTTCAACTTGAACCTTGAAACTGAGGAACGTTCCCTTGACTTAGGGTATGAACACAAATCGCTTAAGTTGCTTGACCCTCCTTGCCCGCCCCTCATCCAAGGCGTGTAGCAGCCGATGTCGAACTAAGAGCAGTCAGTCACGTAACAATTCTACCCAGCCACCCACCCACCCACCCAATGGTTCGATCAATTGTCATGATTCATGGTCACGATTCGATCAAAGAACCAAATATTTGACGTCTGACACTTTCGTTTTATCTTCTTTGGTTCTTTCGGTAAAGTCACGTAGAATGAGAATAAAATAATACATTAATAAAATAAAATAACACAATAAAATTCTCACGACGTTTCGGCCACAACACAAGTGGCCTTTTTCAGGTGAAAGGAACAGACCTGTCGGGACGACAGAGCTTCAATGAATTAATTTATTACGAATTAATTTATTATTTTATTCTCATTCTACGTGACTTTACCGAAAGGACCAAAGAAGATGAATCCTTGCAGTCACGAAAGCTTTAAATCGAAACTTTCGTCTTACTTTCCACCAAGTGTATCTCGATGGCGCCTAACGGGCGTCACGGGCACACCGCCACGCGTCCACTCCGCGCGTAGCGTCGTTCGTGCGGCTCTTTTGTTCGAATTGAGACGGAGGAAATGAATGGGAGAGAATGGGGGGAAGGTGGGTGGGGGGCCTTTGCCAAGCAGTAGAAAGTTACTGGCTGACAACAACAACAGCAGCAGCTGCAGCAACAACAACAAAACAAACTGCGTAATGACTAAAAACCCGACGCTTCTGCCGGGGTATTGGGAGACGTGATGGGGCCCCGCTGTTGGCTTCTTAGCGAAGTGCACCTCCCCCGCGCCCCAGCTTCTAGGGGAGCCGCCTTAATCGCGTCATTGCGAGCAAACAGAGTTGAAAATTGCCACGTTAAAATACTGTGACAGCGGCGGCTGCTGCTGCAGCGTTTCTCGCGCTCAGTGAGCTGCGTGCGCGCAATGTGCTTGTGGGGGTGGGCGATAGCTCCGTGGCTCAGTGGCTGCTGGTCAGGCGATGCTCACGGCGAAGGTTAAGGCGCGACCCCTGCAATGTCTCGCTCACGCCACTGCTGGCGGAAGGGCCCACATGCTTCGAAGGAGCTCTAAAGCGCGCTTCCTCCTATTCATATTCTTTGGGTCTTTCGGTAAAGTCACGTAGATAGGTTCAAAGAGAATAACATAATAACAAAAAATTACGACGTTTCGATCGCAACACAAGCGTTCGTCATCAGGAAACTGCTTATAAAGGTTTGAAATGGGCGTAGCCCAAATGTCAGCAGCCAATGTCAATGCAAGTGGTGGGCAGCGACCGACGCGGTGGTGGAGGCTTTCCACCAATCAGAGGGCTGCCAAGCAAAAATTATCATGTCAATGCAAGATCGCCGAGCATCCTTCACAGCGAGTGCGCCAAGGTGGCTGTGTTAATGTGAGAGATTAACATGTTAATGGCAGATCGTGAAGCAGCAGCCTCGAGGATGGTGCATAAGGTTAGTGAGAAATTTAATCTGTTAATGTAAAAAATTCAAAGAGCCGAAAATAACAACTAACATCGGAAGGTGGTAAGCTGGGAACATCGCAGCCAGTTATGACTTAAACTGGTTAATAACATCCTTCCAATGATTGCTCAGTTTGTACCCATCTTCTCGGTTGAAATTGTGTCTGTGTCTGTATATATGGATGGCTTCATGCACGAATCTTTGTTGATAGCCAGTGGGTTTGCAAAGTACCTTCGTCTTAGAGAAATCAATTTCGTGTGAGCCCACCGCATTAAAACAATGATCAGCCACGGCCGAGGTATTGGTCCTACCGTGTTTCAGATCTGCTTTGTGTTCACGAACACGGTCCGTGACATATCGCTTAGTTTCCCCAATGTAACTACTGCCGCAGACACAGCTTAGTTTGTAGACGTCGGGGTATTGCATGTCAGGGATCACATCCTTCACAGATGGGATCAGATCACGAATTTTATGTACTGTGTTAAATCGAACCTGGATCTTGTGTTTGTTCATGATTTTGGAAATCTTTTGCGCTTCCTCCTGTTGGGCGATGTGGCCTACTCTGCCACACTCGCCTTCATAGATGCTGCCCGCTAACACCACTTGCACCCAACAGTGTGTCAAGGCTACACGGGGGATCTTTGTCTTTGGGGAGCGGCAATGTGGCGGTGACCACACTGCGCTATGAACCCGGCGACCCACGTTCGATTCCCGATTAACAACCCCTGCAAGGGGCATTCGGCCTCCTCTTCAAATGAGAGTGTACCCACACTTCACCCCACCGCACGCGACCTGCCGATCGACCACGCGTGGCGCAACTTATTTACCACTGCTGGGTGGAACGAGGCAGGGCGAAGGGGCTTTCTGAGAAACCTGCCCTATTGTTTCGGCTGCCGGCGCCGAGAGACTGAATTGAACCGGCGACCTCCGCGTTTCAAGTCAGGCGCTTGAACCATTAAACCACTAACACCGTCACCGTCATGGCAGCAGCAGCATCACGTGTGTTGTCAAGAAGGGCCACGTGTGTTGTCAAGAAGGGCCACGTGTGCTGTGAAGTAGGGCCACGTGTGCTGTGAAGTAGGGCCACGTGTGTTGTCAAGAAGGGCCACGTGTGCTGTGAAGTAGGGCCACGTGTGTTGTGAAGTAGGGCCACGTGTGTTGTGAAGTAGGGCCACGTGTGTTGTGAAGTAGGGCCACGTGTGCTGTGAAGTAGGGCCACGTGTGCTGTGAAGTAGGGCCACGTGTGCTGTGAAGTAGGGCCACGTGTGTTGTGAAGTAGGGCCACGTGTGTTGTTAAGATCGGGAAACGATAGGAAAACCGCCAAGGCCAGGGTGTTATTGACGAATGTTTTTTATTTTGTTATTCCATTTAATAAAAACAAAATACAGGTATTGCCAGCGAGGAATAACTCTCGGCAGGTCAGGCTCGCTCGGTACAATTCGGTTGTGTTTTCTTGTCCCATTTGCCCTGGCGGTTTTCCCATAGTTTTATTTGCAAGTCTGACTCGGTCATTTAATCCACATTTCATTAATCTCTCCAACCTCGTCAACTTGCCAATCCGTGTGGCTACCCACCCACGCATATATCTAGTTATCTGCCTACCCATCTATTTATTTACTTATCGACCTATGTACTTTATTACCTTCCGACTCACCGACTTGCCTAACTCACTACCTACTCGCCTACTTGCTTGTCTACCTACCAACTTACCTGTCTAACCTCCCAAGGGGCTACCTAAATGTCTATCTACTTACCCATCTAACTAGCTAATTACCTCCCTATTTACTTACCTTCCCACCAATCTACCAGCCTCTCTCACGATCTGCCTACTTTCCTGTCCACCAAGCCACCCTCCTAATGCATATCCACCCACCCATTACTTACTACCTACCTACCCACCCACCTTGCCTACCTCCCTACCCTGCTACCTGCCTATGTGCTTGCTTATCTGCAAGGCGTGTAACGACGCCATAGATCAGGGGTGGGGAACGTCCGGCCCGCGGGCCGTATAAGGCCCGCAAAATCATTTGGTCTCTGGCCCTGCCAAGGCAACCGCAGGCGGGACTCAAAATTAAATAAATCTCGGAGCAAACCTGGAAAAGCAGTTGCGAGTAGCAACATCGTCAACACCAGCTGACATCATCACACGCCTCGCCAAAGAGAAGCAGTTCCAGCCATCACATTAGGGGTGAGTTAATTAAATGTTTGACCAAATATAACAGGCTAATTTTTAAGTTGATCATTTTGCATGGCCCGCGAATGATGTTATAAATATCCAAATGGCCCTTGGCAGAAAAAAGGTTCCCCACCCCTGCCATAGATCCACCGACTAAAAGCAGTACTCGCACCCACGATGCGTCCGCGGAAATCGCCCACGCTAGATGGGATTATTATTTACGGTTTGTGCAAGTCGCGTGCATGCAGCAAAACAATGAGGGCACGTGCAAATGTGGCGTGTTGACCGATGAAGCAGACGGGGTGGCACGGACGATGCAGGCCAAGCGAGATGCGCGAAACAGCAACACCAATGAGATGTGAACAAAGCAAGGCGGGAAGAGAGACGCCCACGATCGATTTGGATCGTCAACCACAAATGTTGACAGTTCACCCAGAGCCGTGCGCCGGTAAAGAGGAGTGTGCGGGGGGTGGGTAGGGGTTGATGAATCGTTGTATGCCTACTACCCACCCACCTACCCACCTCCACATCTATCCACCTACCTGCCTGCCCACTGACATACCTTCACAGTCAATGTGATTACATGTTGAAATGAGCATTGAGGCGGTGCTAATTGCCTATTTACAGCTCTGATGCAGCGGTGACGTTTCCACATTGCTATGGCGGGAGGCGAGTCTGTCCATAGGACAACCACTCTATATTTGAAGTTTTCATGACTGCAGGGATCCATACTCTTTGGTTCTCTCAGTAAAGTCACGGAGGTATAAAATAAAATATATTTATATATATTTCCGAATCATCCGTTATCCCATTTTAACCATTTTAAAAATATATGAATAGTAATTTATGAATCCTATTAACAAGCTGAGCGAGCTAAGCGATGATGGGGAAGGCAGGCGGAGGTGAGGGCGAGAGTTGGACTCCCGTGGAGGGGTAAACTGACCGATGCACACGTTCTCGTGGCTGAGCGGGAGCGACGCGTTGCGGTAGTGTCCCGGCCGGCAGTACTGACAGTGCTGTCCCCGCGTGCTGTGCTTGCAGCTCACGCACACGACAAGGTTTAGCAGTTTGATGTAACTGCAGCGCTCCGAGTGGCCGTGGCATTCGCAGTCTTTAGGAGGAAGGGGAGACACGACGGGTGGCGCAAACCAGCGAAGGGAAGGGGAGGGCAGACGCGCGCATACAGGCACAGGCACGCACACGCCGCACGCATTTGCACGTACGGACGCGCGCACACGCACACGTGCGCACACGCGCGCGCGCACGGGCACGTACGCGCACACGCAGGCACGTGCACAGAGGTACACACGCGCACGGGCACGTGCACACACCCCACGCACACACAGGCACGTGCACAGAGGTACACACGCGCACGGGCACGTGCACACACCCACGCACACACAGGCACGTGCGCGCGAGTAGACTTGGGTACGTGTTCGGACACACGTACACGCGCGTGGACACACACAGAGACATACGCAGACATAGGGGACACGCGCACACACACACAAAGCGGGATTTTACTTTCTACATGATATATGTGTGTGAATTAGATTGGTACTGATACAGGGATCGCACGTAGATTAATATGAATTATTGTTAATTAGCATTACTAATTATAACAATAATGCTGATACTTTGTATTCCAGGAACAGCCTCACTCAGTCTAAACACCTCTTTTCTCATAGGGTTGCGACGTATCCCACATCTGGGCTACCAGGTGACCAGATGGCAGTACAGTACAACAATGGAACCCTTGAAACAATTTGTAACGGATCTCTCTGCTAGGAAGTAGGGTCGTTGCCTGAAACGCCGCCTATTATAAATGTGTTGTCCTTAGAGAGCGGCGTTATTGACACGGAACGTGTTGAGTGTGTTGTTGTTGTTGTTGTCGTTGTTTGAGCTTGTGCACCAATACCAACTCCCGGCTGCTCTCCCGTTTCCGCCCACACGAAGACCGATTAACGCATTTGGCCCAAAGCGCATCCGTGTGGAGGGACCTCGCGCCTCCGATTAGCACGGTTGGCTACGTAAGAAGTGCAACATGCACTCTGCCTCACATGTGTGGAGGCTCAGTGATGGCTTTCCTTGATAAATAAAGGGGCATTATTATTATTATTGCAATCACCTGTGCGTACAATCTGAATAAATGAATGAAATACAACAACATAATATAATTCATCCCTTTGATGTAATTTCCCCACTGCGACGATCGCAGTCCATCCACGCGAATGCTTTTCCCCTTGCTCCAGCAGGCTGCGTTTGTGTTTAAATTCCCTTGCGGACCAAAACGACCTTGAGTCGCAGCTTTGTGCTAATACTTCCAACGGGCAGCACCTGCGTTAAATAAATTAAATAAGCGAATAAATAACTTACTTTAAACGACAAAATTACTCCACCCCCCCCCGCCGCCGGCTTAAACATTCTGACTCTGAGATTAAATTGACGCAAGGAAGAGGAGGAGGGAGGAGGGGAGCCTGGCGAGTGAGCTCAGCCGTGCGTGGCATGAAGGGAATTGCGTGCACAACTTTTCCTTGTTTCTGCTCTCTACCCATTGATTGTTCTGCTGTCCTCGTCGGTTCAAAAGGCAACCCCCCCCCGCCTGCATCACCAATCTCGGTATGCGTGCATCGCGAAGGTAATCTGCTTGTTAGAATACAGCGGGCAGAGTGAGTGACAGGCGGGGGAATCTTGAACGGGGGGCAGGGTGCGGGCAGCACGGAGGGATGGTGGGAGGCTGTTCCAGACCACGGGCTCAGCGTCGAAAAGCGTCTAAAGTGAGACCGCGTCTCTGAAATACTTGGGGCGTATGGGGTGGGTCAATCAAATCGATTTGAATTATTAAGCAAAGTCACAAAGTTAAAATCGATTTCCTTCAGCTCAAATGAGCATTGAGGTAACGGTGTTCATCTCCCGTTTTACAGCCCTGCAGAGCCAGTGGTGGAAATTCCACATTCCTATGGCGGGGGCAAGTCTATCCATAGGACAACCACTGTTGGCCTCGCCATGAAGTGGTGCTCATTTTATCGATCCTGGAGTCGCGACCCCTCCCGATCGCGAGCCACTCGCTCGACTGCTGAGTCACCCTGGCCGGAGCCAGCGTCACTCGCAGCGAATTGAGTGAGGGCGCTGATGCAATGAGATGAACGCAGCGATGGTAAAGAGTAGGAATGTAGAATACGAATCGGGCTTACCCTTTCTGGCAATACAACAGGAGGTGTTCAGATGTTCAAACACCAAATGGATACCTTTTGCAAGGAATGAAGTCTCCATTAACCACACGTACTTGTGGTGAGCATGCAAACAAACATGCTCTGATAATTATTATTAATGCATTGTCTTTGAAACTGATTTGCCCCACACCAGATGACAGTCTTCCTTACGGCCTTGTCTCACCGGTGTTTGCACATCTTAACAACTGTTGTATTGTTATCAGAAAGGGTAAAACCTATTCTAATGTTTCATACTTTGATACTTATAAAATAGGAGTGTAGTCACCCCACCCCCTTAACTCTTTGAACTGAACTTCAATTCCAGAACTGTTTTCCTGTTTGATTCATTTTAACGTCTCTCATTTGTATTCTTTCCCATTCGTCCTGTCTGGCTTGTGCAGTCGTGTTCCCTCCGTTCGTCAAAATATAACTACAGTATGCATAATCATCCGCATATCAACTTTCAGACAAATCCAGTACACGCAGTCTAGATATCCAACTACAAACTAAGAGCTGTCTGTTTTTGGAGAGCTTATACGGGACTTTTAAACCGGCTAAGATGGTGTAAAAGGAAAAGCGAACTGGTTGAGGTTCGTGGTTTTGAGTTACACCGAGACAGGCAGCGGAGCGCACGGATCAAAGCATGCCACGTGCCAGCGACAACGCGTTGACTTAAGGAAGCTGACCAGGCTTTGGCAGGACAGAGCAGGACACGTAGCGAGAAGGGGCGACGGTGGCCGATTGGTCGAGACTAACGACGGAGTGGCAGCCAAAGGAGCGAGCGCGGTCTGCAATCACTTGCACGTTCGTCGCGGAGATGGATCGTTGAATTCAGCGTGTAGCTAGGAGGAGCTCGATGGATCATCGGCATCCCCAGAACCGCGCGAGTGATAGCGACGGCTTTGGGACGCCTTAGCCCAGCAGTGAATAGAAGATAGCAGCTGCTGCTGCTTATGATGATGATGTTGGCGATTCTATTCTTGCGTTTGGCAGCAAGATGTCCAGGTGCTCAATGCCAAAGTCGTGGTCTGCTAGCCACGACGAGGGGAGCTTCACGGGCGAGAGAGAGAGTTCGTGTCGTTTTGGAATTCCTCTTCCTTCGTTGAAGGAGCGCAGACTTACAGTGGTTTACTATGTGACGATGATGATGATTATGATGATGATAACCATCATCATCGTGACAAACTTGTCGAACTGGCGAGAGAGAGCTCAAGAGGGTTAAACCGGGCCGGGCCGATCTGTGCCGATCCAGGGCTGGGGCTTTCGGGCCTCGGGGGCGCTTTACGAGCGGAGAGATAAGAGAGAGGCGGCGGCTGGGTGCGAGTGTGACGGTGGGGAAGTAATTTGACGCTTCCTTTTTTTCAACCCCGCAAACGGACAAAGACGTAGGGGGGGGGGGGGGTTTACGTAAGAATAAAAAAGAGAGAGAACGCTCTGCAAATTCCAACTGCGCGCAGCAAGCGGCTCAACATCCCAAAGCTCTCGTCCCGGGGTTTTAGCCCTGCGTGGATTCACAGCGAGGATTTTGAAACGAACGTCACGAAACCGCCATCACCGCCGCCCTCGGTTTTGCTGCGTTGCGTGCGGCGCCTCGTTCTATCTTCCACCCACCGACTTAATTTTTACGAGCGCGCAATTTAATTTCGAATTTTGTCGTTGTCGATGTTGTTGTTTTTGTCGCAGGCGTTCACGTCACGGCCCACCCCCCCGTGTCAATCGGCGCGGGCGTAAACGTGAAAGCACGCTACCACACGTCACGTGTCGACAGATGTCAACACGTGACGTTGACATGTTTGACACGCTGCACCTGATGTCCTTCCCGCACAACTATAATGTACTACCCATGATAATATATAACAATTCATGTTTCGGCCCTTTGTCAATACACTGCTGGATGAAGGCCGCCACATGTTGTTGTTGTTTGACCATACTTCGCCACCCTGGACCCCCACGGTAAGGGAGTTTCACAATATCATCGGCGCGGCGATCCATCAACCCTAGGATAGCCACCACCGCCCGGCTAATGATTCAGATGATGATCACGATGACAATGATCATCATCATTGCCATCGTGATGTTAATCACGTTGATCATCATCACGATGATGAAGAAGATCATCATTTATATAATTGCACTCCATTGTCACTTTCCCGACAGCCCCAGCACCCCCCCCTCCTTCCACACGGGACTTTTCCTCGGTGTAGGCGGAAATATTCTCTCCGTGTCCGTCTCGGCACGCTCCTTTCTGCCGTGAATGATTGATGCGCCCGGGGGGCGGGGCGGGGCGGGGCGGGGGTGGAGGCACCGCTTTGGACTGCCCGCTTGGTAGACTGTAGCCCGCACCCCTAGCCACCCAGACCGCGTGTTTGTGTTCGCGGAGCCGAGCCCGCAGACAGGCGGGGGCGGGGGCTGCGGTCTTCCTTTGTGGGCGGGCGGGCGGGCGCTGTTGTGAACCAACGACCACTGCCCTAGCCGTTACCGCCAGCTAATGGGCACTAACGATACACCAGTGTGTGTGTGTGTGCCCTGTCGTGCCCTCGCAGCAGCCCCGACACAGATCGATGGCGCGATTGGGTGGTGGTGGTGGTGGTGGTCGGGGAGAGGGGATCGAGCGAGGAAGGAGGGAAGGCGAGAGACGGGGGGTGGCGGAGCAAGAGGTTTGCAGTATTATTATTTATTATTCGACTTCAAGAGAACAAGGTAGAAAGATAAAGGTGGAGCCCTGCAATTGTTCTTTTTTACACTGGGGCCCAAAGGCCTAAAATATCAAGCGGCCAGCAACGAGCAGCACTAATAGATGAGGGCTGATGCGTTTCTTTGAATTCAGAAAGATTATAATAGCCTGAGAGGAAATTCCAAAGTGTTACCGGCAGCTCATGCCATTGCTGACACAAGTGCC